GGAGGGTTGCGATCCGTTGCCGGACACGGAAAAAAAAAAAAAAAAAAAAAAAAAAGAAAGTTCTTCCTTGCAGTAAACCACAGCCTCTCTCCCATTCAACTTTGTTTTCCATTTCAAATTGGTCCTGCAAAAAGCAAAGTCTTTGAGGCCCAGTGACAACTCAGTTTTAGGCTAGTTTGGCAGTAAATGAAATACCTAGACAGCAACTCTTAATTTTCCCATTGACCTCCATTAGAATATCGGAAAATATCTGGGACTATAGCCTTTGCTAGATTGGATTGAAATGTTTTGGGTGAAAGAGGGACCAAGAAGGTTACCCTGGGCACTAGCATGCTAAGTTGGTAGAATGCAGGAGCTGGGCCTGTGGAATTTTTCCTCTTCCAGCAGTTCTGGCCACTTTTGCAGTCTTCAGCATTTCCCATAACTTTCCCAGCTCACGGAGGATTCCCAGATCCCCACATGGGACTCCTGGAGCTCTATACTGAGCCTGTATTTGTCTGGGATTTATAATGTCTAATATACTTCACCTGTGGTATCATTTTTCCATTGTAAAGTAGAATCAGAGGCATTGTATTGCATCCTCAAATGTTCCTGAGTGGTATTTAAAGTTGGTATTGTGGTGGTCCTATAAAGTCAAGATATAGGGGCCGGCCCATGGCTCACTCAGGAGAGTGTGGTGCTGATAACACCAAGTCAAGTGTTAAGATCCCCTTACCGGTCATCTTTTTAAAAAAATAAAAATAAAAAAATAAAGTCAAGATATATTTAATCTACTTAGAATAAAAATATCTGTGTGACAAAATCTATAATTTAATATCTCTATATCTTGTTTTCTTATTTAAGATGTTTTCTTATAAAATTAATACATGCAAAAAAAATTAATAATGTAAAAAATTTGATTAGCAGGGCTGGCCAATTGCTCAGTTGGTTAGAGCATGGTGACCCCACCAAGGTTCAGGGTTCTGATCCCTATACCAGCCAGCCGTCAAAATAAATGAACAAATAAGTGAATGAATAAGTAAGTAAGTAATTGGAAAAAAACAAGTTGGGGGAAAAAAATCATCTGTAATAACAACACCTAAAAGTAAAACACCTGTTAACCTTTTCCTGCATCTCTTTTGGGTATATATACTTTTCTGTCTTTTTACAAAAATGAGATTAAAAGATACAGTTTTGTAAACTATTCCTAGTCTCCTTTTAAACTTAATAATACATTACACATTTCTAGTGTCTACTTAACTAGCTGGCCCAAACCCCAACAGTGTCAGAGGACTACACTAACTCTCTCTCCTTTGCAGCTAGACAGGCTATTACTAAGTGGTTCTGCCTGACTCTTTCTGTTCCTGTGGATTTAGTTACAGATATCTGCTCATTGATTTTTCTTAGCTTTCGTCTGTCTGTGGCAAGGTGTTCTGAGAAAAGGCCCCTGGAAGTGCATTTGTTCCCATGTTCTGGCCTTTTCTGTGGGCCTGCTAGTAGGCAGGGTCGTCTAGGGGGCCTCAGCTGGAGTCCACGTGTCTGTCCCAGAGTCCAGGTCTGCATTCAGTGGGGGCGGCCACAGGCTCCCTGTTCAGTACTTGGGAACTGCATCCACTAGGTGTCATGCCTTTGAAAAGATGATTGCCCCTGGGCACATAAGGGTAGTTCTGACACCTGCCTCTCCCTCTGCTGGTCAGTTATCATACTCTGCTTTTTGCTTTCAGGGCAAGTTTCTGGCTTTTTACCAGTATGCAAAATCATTTAATTCAGATGACTTTGATTATGAAGAGCTGAAGAATGGGGATTACGTCTTCATGAGGTGGAAGGTAAGCTCCCTCCCAGGCGGTTTTCTGGGACTTGCTATGTGCCCCAGCTGTAATGCACCCCACACGTCTCCTCTGAGATGCGCCTTCTAACCAGGGGCTGCCTATGTCCAGTGCTTGTCACAGTTTGTCTTCATGGCAGGGTCTTTGCACACTTGTAGAAAGCAGGCAGGGCTCCAGAGCACGCACTGGTTAACTAACTGCTGACATCCCAGACAGCTCCCTTTGGTTACACTGTTTAGTAGTTAGCAGGTAAATTCATGCCCAGGTGGTGATCACCCTCTGACGTTGTTGTTTGTGTCTTCTCCCTTTCCTTTCTCCCACCCACTAATCCCTTTGAACCTCCAAGTTGAATCATTCCAAGTGTTCTGTGGATTCAGGGCAAAGCCAAACTGTCTCTGAACTTAGTCATCCACTATTCCCACCACAGGCTTAAGCTCCGTTGGAGTGACTGGTCTCTGCCACTACGTCCTTTCTCTGGGGCTCGGCACAGTCTCAGCTACTTTGCTTCCCTCCAGCTCAGGAAATGAGGGACCAGGAATGGAATGTGGGTTTTCGACTCATCAGCCCTCGGAGAGTGCCATCTGGCTGACTTGATGAATTGGCTTTTAGCTGAGAAGTCGTTTGTGCTCCCTGCTTTAACAGCCACAGGATAGCAAAAGCATGAAGCAAGTTTGTCAAGTGACTTCGTGAACATACACCCACCTTCAACCCCTAGTTCCTGATCTGTAGGAAAAAGTTGTTTTATCTTGAAATTTTGCCAGCTTTCATAAGGACAAACCATTCAGTAGTTATTCTCAATCTTTACTTCATACGGCTAACATCTGGTGGGGGAATCACCACTTGTTCAGTGTCAGATGCTAGGTGTAGAGAGTAAACGGTGAGCCCCACCCTTGTGAGCTTGTTCTAATTTTATTAAAGACTACAATTTCAAAGGTTGAACAAGGGGGAGGAGAGTGTCTAAAAAAAAGCAATAGAAGCATTTTGTCTCCAAAGAATTTCTCGGGGCAACTCACCTGTGGGCCTTTAGTAGACCTCCTGAGGCACTGGGGCTTCTGACCGTCTCTCCCAGAGAGTAGGTGCTAGGACTTGGCCTTTCAACTCTTTGCTATACCACAGGTAGCAAGCTTGCCTCTTCCATAAGGTGCCTGATCAAGAACAGACCTGTTCTGTTTGCTGTTGACAAGGTGTAGAGCTCTTGGAGGGGGTATCATGGCAATTGACTGTGGCTGCTGGTAATTGATCTGCCCTCAGAATGATTCACAGACCAACAGAAGTTACTCAGTGTTCTAGACATCATCAAGAGCCTAGTGACAGTTCCTGGGAACTGGAGCAGAAACTTACTCTCCCCAGTTGTTCTGTCTGTGGTCTCTGAAAGGTAGCTAGGCAGGTAGGCAGGCAGGTAAGTAGGTACTGATTTATTTATTAGATGTTTGGACCATGGTACCTTCTCAGTTTCTGATCTCAGTGAGCATTTTCCTCTTTAGTATGTAGAACATTCCAGGAGCACATGAGCACTCTTCAGAAGTCAGGCTGAACCCAGTCACCCAGTAAGTCTGGGTTAGACCGTGGGAATGTGTCTTTTCTTAAGTGGTCCTTAGAACCCCCGGATGTTTAACAGAGAGGCCCAGGGGGTGGCAGGTGGTGCTGTGTTACTGACCTCTTCATCTGCGTGCAGGAACAGTTCCTGGTTCCAGATCACACGATCAAAGACATCAGCGGTGCCTCCTTTGCTGGCTTCTACTACATCTGCTTTCAGAAGTCAGCAGCCTCCATAGAGGGCTACTACTACCACAGGAGTTCAGAATGGTAAGGACCCCAGAGGCCACAGGCCACAGGCCACAGCAGAGGCTTGCTGCCCCCCACCCTGCCTTGGCTCACCACGCCCAAAAGAGAATCTCTCTGCCTAGCCACAGCGGAGGCTTGCTGCCCCCCACCCTGCCTTGGCTCACCACGCCCAAAAGAGAATCTCTCTGCCTATCTCTGTATAGATTTCATGCTTTATTTGGATGCTGAGGGCCTACTTAAATGATCTCAGTTGCTCATAGTAGGGGCTTATCCCTATCCACAGAGCAGAGTAAATGAGATGAAAAATGAAGTATTAGGTGAAGGAACTCATTTCTAAATACTTTTAAGCAGTACTGTATTTTTGGCAATGTTTATCTCAATCTTGCTGGGTTTGTCCTCCCAAATTTAATCAGAAACTAAAATGTAATTTAATTCACTGTGAACAGTGTAAATTTTGCTGTCAGCAGCCTTTGTCATTTTGTGGCTGTATTCCTTAGACATTGGTCCCACATGTACTAAATTTCAGTCTGATGAGCTAGTGGCCAGGTGAGTTACAGTCCTACCCTGTGTCTCGTCAAAAGTGAAGGACAGAACACCACCTCAAGTGCAAGCTTTTATCGCCTTTTGGGGGCTCTCCTGCCTCTTTGCTGCTTTTTTAAACACCTGGAGGGTCAACCATACCATAAAATACCTGGTTTCCTTTCTGAATGTAGAAACACTTTATTTCCTTTCAAATTTTTCACACTTCTGTGACTTGCAAGTGATCCTACCTAGATTGACCTAAATTCCTTGTTCAGTGGCCACAAAGTTATATCTGCAAATAAATGCTAGCACCGTAGCTATAACTATTAGGCTTTCAGTAATTGTTCCGTTTCCAAGTAAGTTTTTTTAAACTTTGCATAATTTTTTTTTTCCTTTTTGTCTCTTTTTTACTGATCGGTAATGGGATTGCAACCCTCGGTGTCGCACCCGCACCGGGGACCGGCAATGGGATCGCAACCCTCGGTGTCGCGCCCGCACCGGGCTCAGCCAGCGAGCGGGAACCGGTCTCCACATGGGATCCGAACCTTCGGCAGGAGCGCCGCCGCACTCCCAAGCAGTGCACTCTCCAGTGCGCCACCGGGCTGGCCCTGCATAATTTTTTAAAAATAACAGTTTTATTGACATATTATTTGCGCACCATATAGTTCACTCATTTAAAGTACACAAGTCAATGGTCTTTCATATATCAACAGAGCTGTGCAGCCATCAATTTCAGAACATTTTCATCACAAGAGGAAACCCTGTACCCTGTAGCCATCACCTCCAAACCCCCTCCCAGCTCTAGGCAACCACTAATCTACTTTCTCTTGAGATAGATTTGCCTGTTCTGAATACTTTATACAAATGAAATCCTACGACGTGTAGCATTCGTGCCTGGCTTCTTTCACTTGGCATGATTCTTTGAAGGTTTATCCATGTCGTAGCCTATATCAGAACTTCAGTTTTATTGTCAGGTAATTTTCTGTTGCGCGTGTATACCACGTTTTCTTCGTCCGTTCATCAGTTAATGGACACTGGAGTTGTCTCCACCTTTGGCCGTTGTGAATAACACTGCCGTGAACACTGGTGTGCACATATCTGAGTTCCTGCTTTCAATTCCTCTGGGCATATACCTAGGAGTGAAATTGCTGGGTCATACGGTAACTCTATTTTTAACTTTTCGAGGAACTGCCAAACTGTTTGACAATGTCTGTACTATTTTACGTTCCGGCCAGCAGTGTATGAGGGTTCCAGTTTCTCCCCACCAACACCCACTATGGTGGGTATAGAGTAGTACTTATTGTAGTTGTGCTCTGCTTATTCCTGATGGCTAATTCCCATCCCTTTATTTTTTTTTATGGTAAGATATAAACTGTTTTTACCTGTGTTCTTCCTCTCTCCTATGTGAAACAAGTAGAAAAGAACTAACACTCCAGTCACTGACTCCAGATGTGTCCGGGGTTGTTGTCCCAGAGTGTGGTTGTCCACCTCTGTTTCTCCGTCCTCTGTGTGACACCTCAGATCTCTACTATTCCACAAGCCTGGTGCCATACTTAGGGAAATGAGAAAATAGAAATGAATGGTGAGGGCTGGCTGGTTAGCTCAGCTGGTTAGAGCGTGGTGTTGTAACACCAAGGTCAAGGGTTCGGATCCTTGTACCCCACCAGAAAAGAAAAAAAAGATGGTGAAATAAGGTTAGGGGTAGCTGCGAAATTGCTATTTACACGCTCTCTTTGGGGACGATGAGAAGTAGGACATGCCTGTGTCGTTTGTGCGGTTCTTTCAGATGCTACAGCCAGACGTTGCGTGAATGGAGCTCAACTGCTGCTGCTAGGAGAGAGGAAGGGTGGAAGGGGGAGGTGAGGCCAGGGCTTCCGCCTGTAGCTGCTCCCAGAACTTACCAGGTTCTTGTTCTTGTAAAACGTACTATAGTTGCTTCATACTTAGGGGGGAATGTCTAAAGACAATTTAACTTATGTGTGGTTCAGGAGGATTAACCAAAAAGAAAGGTTCAGGTTGAGAAGTATAGGATGACTTTGTATTCAGTCCAAGCATGTGATTCGTCAGGTGCTCTGGTCGGGGGGTTCTTCCGACAACCTTTGCTCAATGTGCAATAGATGACTACCTCGCATTTCTGTCTCTCCCTCCTTTGCAGGTATCAGTCCCTCAATCTAACCCATGTTCCTGAACACAGCGCACCCATCTATGAATTCCGGTGACAGCGGTTCAGAACAGCAACCAAATAAAACTGAACTTGGCAAAAAAGAACTTTGCCAAGAAAATTGTGTACCTGCCAGAACCAGGAGAACGTGTGTTCCTGTTTCTTCATGAGCAGACTCGCATCAGAAAGCATGAATGTTAACCCACAGAATCCAAGGAGCAAGGCCGACTGGCGGGGCACGTGGAGGGGGCGGTCACCGTTCTCCATCCCTCTCTGTGGCAATTTGGGCTTCATCTGTTTTTAAGCTACCTTAAGCGCACTTTCCCTTCCTGCACAGCTAACTTCCATGTCACTGGAATGTCCGCTCCTTCCTCTGTCCCCGCCTGCAGCTGAGTAGAAGGTCAGCTCCCACGTAGAAGGTCAGCTCCCGGATCACCTTCAGCCTTGGTGCTCAGTGGTCCCCACCCAGGCCCCAGGCCTCCTCCCCTCCCCCAGTTGCTTTGTCTGGTAGCTTAAGAGAAGGCAGAGCCCCAGCACGTCTGTGCCCCCAGAGCTCTACACAGGGAGTTGGTGAGCTGCCGCAGCATCTGCCACCAACGAGGCGAGGGACGGAGGCCAAGCCGGTCCCTACTAGGCCTCCTCAGTGTTCAGATCTGATGGCTTCGTGGGGTCAGCAGGCACTGTGGAGCCCTGTGCTGATAAAACAGAGCTAGTAAGTGGCTGTGAGGTTCCCTGGGCCTGCCGTTGGGGACCGCTAGATGTAAGGCTTCCAGATCCCTGTCAGGAGCAGATTCCAGTCCTGCTTATTACTCAGTACATTTGCTCCAAACTTTTGAACTTGAGGGCAATACTAAACTTAAAAATAAGAGTTTTTTTATTACAAAATTATTTTTATGGTCCCTTTAACGAGGACCCTATGGCAAATGCACAATTATTCAGAATTACATTTTATCGTTTTCACATTGAAAACAGCAAATGTTGACTTAGTAATTTTTATATCTATATCTATATGTATATGTATATTTAATCAACCAGCAGTTTTGGAACTAGGCATCCTGGTACAAAAGTTTTGCAGCATTGCGTAAATTATAGTGCTAAACACAAGAACTGTTTTTGGGGCCAGTTTAGCATTTGTACCTCCTCCTTTTGCTACTCAAAACAACAGTGCTTCATGGCGACCTTTTCCATGAGGCAGAAGAGGTCGTCATTCTCCAAAAACAGTGACTCAAATGTTGGGACAGGGGGTGGGGCGGGAAACGTGAACATGCTCAAATAACTCAAGGCTCACGTGCCAAAGTGTGTGTGTGGTTTTTCTGTTTTGTTTTTGTTTTTTTAAATGTTTAAAAAGCTTCATAGGTTGACATCAGTTGTAGCCCGCAAATAACGGGCAGGGCTTTAGGGAATTGGCATTTTCTGGTGGTTTACAAGACTTACTTGGAATACAAGAGGAAAAGCTTTAAAAACAAGAGAGCATTATAACCCACAGGCGCAAAGCAGCCTGCAGGTTGTGCATCCATGGGCAGTGTAAGAGACCAGAAAGCCCTTCAGTAAGATGAGAGGTGGGGGAAACTTTTTACTCTTAAGTGACTTTCCTTTTAATGACATATGTACTGTATGTTACTGAGATTGAATGTTAGGGGAAGCCTTAAAGTAGAAGTATTTGGGAAGGTAGCCAGTGGGCACTTGTGATATCTAAAATTTGTAGTCCCAGGACTTTGTACAGAGGTGTGACCCAACCATTCAGTAAGGTCAGGGCCTCAGAACCGTAACAAGTCACCCCGGTGACTTAACGTGGAAAAGTGATACATATCCATTCCCAGAGATGAGTCAGAAGTTTCTTGGATCTGAAAATTCAACAAGGCATCAGATTAGCCGGCTCTAGTCAAACCCTGCTGATTTCATATCGAGAGGAGGTGCTCGCCATCGCGTCAATGAAGCTGACAGATGTCACTGAAGAGCAGAGGAGGCTGTGGGGCTGTGCTGGCTCTCATGCAGCTTGTGGCCGTCTCAACATCACCTCGGCTCTGCGCAGCATGTTGCTCAATACCTTGTGCATTCTGCGAGCCTCCTGGAAGGATGCAGGCCCCACTCAGAGCACTGAGGGGTGAGGTCATTCCCGGGGCCTGTGGGGGGTTCATGTGTGTGGCCCTGAGTAGTGGGTCAAGTGGGCAGGGGGGGATGTTTGCAAACACTGCTGGTGTTCTAGCCAGACAGGCCACGTTCCAGTGTAGGATTTCTTTCTTCCTTTTTTTAGCGAGGTAATGAAATGGTGGTTTACTGGGGAAAATGAAGAAGTAATACCTTTACTGGATCCTTCAGGCACAGCCGTGATGAAGATTTATTTGATTAAAAGTCTGCCTGCTGAGGATAGGGAAGGGGTTCTTTTTCCACCACTTCTTAGTAACTCCCAAATGACTGACATCAACTCCTCTCTCTCTGTTCCTGAAGGAAATTTCGGGAATCTTCTCCACCTGTAGTTATTCTTTCCTGAACCTTCTCAGTGGTTTACATGCCTCTGATACTATGTGCAATATTTTCGGTTGACACTTGTATCCATCATTAAGAAATGAGTGCAGATTGCAGATTTTCTACTGTCTTCCTCCACCCCAAACAAGCCTGCGTGAGGTTGGGTCCTAGGGGTCCGGCCGTTACTGCTCCACTGCTTCAGAAGCTTCTGTTCTGTGGCCCCAGCTGCGGCCCTCGTATGTGCTGGACTCATCCCTTCCCCTCACCCGTCCTTGTGAAGTTTCTTTAGCGTTTCAGCTGCAGTCCAAGAGTAACTGAACAATGCCTAATATTAAGTAGAAAATCAATCTGTGTGCTGGTTCTGTTGGTAATGTTAAAATCACAAACTCCAGGGGAGCAAAGGGGTTTTTCAATGTCTTTGCTTTCAGAAACAGGGAATTTATATTCTCTAAGGCCTTGAAATGATTTTTTTTCCCTCGTAAAATAGTCTGATAAGCTAATTTTTAAAAAGAAATGCCATTAAGTATGTTGCATTGTGATTTAAAATTACTAACGAGTTCCGGGAAAGAAAAATAGTATTTGATTTTGAATCTTAAATGTTTTGAAAAATTAGATTTGAATGGGAGCAAAGTATGAATATTTTGTTTCTTTATGGAGGACATGTGGAAATAGTTTGAGGGTTTGGAATGGGAGAAGTATTTTGCAGAGCTATCAATGTCCAAATAATTTTTAAAAAATAATAAAGGTATTTAAGCGGTGAGTTGTCCTATTTCTAAATCAAAATGGTTGCGCTAGAAGAAACCGGTCATTTTCTGGCCTGAGCTATATAGCTCTCTCCAGGGCGGCCAGAGACCTCCGTGGGCCGAGAACAGGCTGTTGCAGTGGTTGGTTGCTCCTTCTCATTCTGGGAGTTTTCAGCCTCTCTACACTTCTATTTGAGCTCCATTTTGTTAATTTTTGTACTTCTTCAGAAATGTAGAAGCATTTTTTTTTTTTTTGCATATGTGCAGGATTTTTCTTTTATTTAACACACAAAAAATATGCAGTCTGGTGCTGGGACAGGCGATACGAGGGGGGATGATCTGTAGGCTGCTCTCACCACTGTGACTGCGACCTTCAGAGGAATGCCTGAACCCCAAAGCACAGGCCCTTCAGCTCCCAAATGGTGTGTCCAGCAGCATCCTGAAGCCAGACGCTGGCGGCAGGTTCTGACCCTTGAATTCTCTGCAGCCTGTGCCCGAGGCCCCTAACTTGGCCATCACACTTGATTCTGACAAACCATCCTGTCAGGGTTTAGGAAGTGGTAGCTGAACCTGCACTGGTACCACCTCCTGAAACCTAACAGGGAGGTTTGTCAGAATCAAGTCTGACAGGTCACCAAGGAACGCAGCTGGAAACATCATTCGAGTTTTTGAGGGAATGTTTAGTGTTGAAGAGGTTTAAATTTTAAGCAAGTTGAAATGCTAAGGGAGTTTACATCAGTGGCAGGGCAGAGTCCCCCAGTGTGTGTAAAATATCGTCTGATCTTATATTGTTTAAACAATAACAACATTTTTCTCCCACGGGATGTATCAGGAAAGGAATAGACAATTGATAATGCCAGACTCATGATTTAAGATGCCGTTTATTCAACATTTTTCTCCCACGGAATGTATCAGGAAAGGAATAGACAATTGATAATGCCAGACTCATGATTTAAGATGCCGTTTATTGGTTATTTTTTACAGTGAAAAGCCATGGAGGCTTCATTCTCCACATCTATCTCCAGGGGCTAACATGCCCTCATGTGCATCAGCCACCTCTGAGCCCAAGCTCCCTCACCATAAGGTGAGGAGGCACAGCCTCTGCTGGGTCAAAGAATTGCAGAGGATTCAAGGAGATGTTTCAGAAAGTACTTTGGAAATTGTAAAAATGTTGTCCTTGTTTAATGATAGTGCTACAAGATATTCACGGAGGCTTGCTGCATGCAACACACCACTCCAAGTACTAGGGACAGTGCAGAAATAAAGCATGCTCCCTGCCCTCCAGGAACAAATAGTCTAGAACAGCTAACAAAACCCTCTCTCATGTCTTAGATCCCCAATTTTTAACTTTTAGTTTGCTTTGTTTTTAGCCACCCACAGGAACAGTAGAAACAGAAAATGTGTACATTTTAAGTATGGAACCAACTGCAAGACAAGAAAAAGGAAAATCATAAACATGAATGCCGTCTCCACTGATCTGAACTGCACCTGAGAAGGAAAGCATTAAAATTGCTCAATGATGAAATCGGCAGCTGGCTTTGATTTTTTTAAAAAATAAAATAATATGTGTCTGAAAATTGGATTGCAGTTGAGCAGCTTTTCCCTCCAGATTTTTCTTCACAAACATCTAAAGACTGAAACTCCCTATTTGTACATAGGGGAAAAAACATGTAAGGCTTTTCATTTGTAGAGAAGCATATGCTGACTTCAAGTTTATTTTTGGCCATTTTTTTCCTCCTGATTTTTCAGCTTGCTTTATTTTTCAGTGCATTAGTCATCGTTCCTCTCCTCCACACTTGCTCACCAGCCCCTCTGTCTCTATGCCTTCTCTGGCTGGCACAGCTTGGAACAGTGCTTCTCAAACATGGCTGCACATTAGAATCACCTGGGAGCTGATTTAAAATTCAGATGTCCAGCAGCACCCAGACTAGTCCTATCACAGCCCACTGATGTTCGTGAGGTTCCCAGTGCACAGTGAAGTTTGAGAGTGATGGACTGCACCTCCCCTACTGAAGGGACAGACAGACAGCTCGTGATGTTGGTGGACTGCGTGTGGTCCCCTGGGCAGAGGCCTTGCAAGTTTTCAGTAGCGTGACCTCAGAATAGCAAATGGCAAACCCCAGACTGGTGTTCTTGCCTTGGGTGTGGCTGGAGCCAGTGAGAACTTCCATCCCTTCTAGAACTTGGAGCCCTTGGAGAATAAAGAAGTGATGGTGGCGCTGTCTTTTCACACGTCGGTGCTTGTCTTCATGGGCTCTCATTTCTTCAGCAAACACTTCGGAGTGATTGCCACGTGCTACCCACTGCTCAGTGTGCTTGGGGTGCATCAGTGAGCACAACAGATAAAAGGTCCCAAGGACGGCTTGCGTTCTTGCGAGGAGATACACAGCAATAGACAAAACGTTACGTCATGTTACATGCAATGCTGACTGATCACGACAGGAAAAGAGAAAGCAGGGCAAGGAGGACCGGGAGTGCCAGACTGGGTCAGGGTGCGGGCTGCAGCTTTTTAAACAGACGGTCAGGCTGGGTCTCCCCGGGTAGGTCATGTTTAAGCGAAGACCCAGAGGAGAGGGGTGAGCCGAGCAGCTGTATGGGGAAGAGCGTTCCAGGCAGGAGACTCCCGGTGCAGAGGTCCCGAGGCAGGAGTGCGCCAGCTGTGTTAGAGCAACAGCGAGTGCGTGTGTAGCAGGGTGTGGGCAGAGGGGACAACAGCATGGTGTGTATGGAAGAGGCAGATCCAGTGGGATCTTGCTGGGTGTTGTCATGATAAAGACTGACTTTGGCTTTTCCTCAGAGAGAGATGAGAGCTGCAGGAGGGTTTCAGCAGAGGAGGTTTTAAGGGATCCTCCTGGCTGAGGGGCAGTGGATTGACTGTCAGGGTGCAAGAGCCTAAGCAGGGAGACAGCCAGGAGGCTGCAGCCACGATGGTGAGGAGTACTTGTTTTACTGGCAGATGCAGACCTGTTGACAGTGGAGCCAAAGGGATTTGCTGAGAGGCTGGACATGAAGCGTAGCAGGGAGAGCAGCCAAGGGCAAGGCCAAGGCTTTTGGCTGGGGCAACTGGAAGGATGGAGTTTCCATTGTGTTAGTTAAGGTTACTGTCTCTCTTGTATCCTCAGGATTTTAATTTGTGGAGATGACACGGAGAAGCCAGTGCCATGGAAAAGGCAGTCTTATGAACAGAAGAGTTACATCTGGCAGCTGCTGGGGAGATAGACCCTTACTCTCAGTAGCTTAACGGAGGTTTACTTCTCATTCACAACATATCCAGTTGGCACAGGTTGGGGAGGGGGCTCCGCTCCATCAGTCTGTCATGAGCTCTGCGACCGTCAACCTGTGCCTGCCATCCTCAGTTGCCCTGGGTGTGTGGAAGACCAAGCTGTGGGGCAAGCTGGGGGGGGAGGGGGATGGTGCATGGCCACACCCAGCTATGTGGGGGCTGGGAAATGGGGCATAGCTGGGTGCCCAGAGGGAAGGGAAGTAGATTTGGTGAACGACAGGTCAGTCTCTGAGGCGCAAAAGTTGTGGCTGGAAGGGGTGTGCGACGGGAGCAGGAGGTCTGCTCTGGACATGTTGAGTCAGATAAATATACATCAGACTTCCAAGTGGTGGTGGACCTATGAATTCAGGAAGAATTCATAAGAAAGGTGTGAGCTGGAGATAATGATCTGGGATCTGTCAGCCTCTAGATGGGGTATTTAAAACTGCAAGACATGGGCCGGCCCCATGGCGCACTCGGGAGAGTGCGGCGCTTGGGAGCACAGCAGCGCTCCCGCCGCGGGTTCGGATCCTATATAGGGATGGCTGGTGCGCTCACTGGCTGAGTGCGGTTTGGGCGACACCGAGCCAAGGGTTGCAATCCCCTTACTGGTCACACAAAAAAACAAAAAAAAACACCCTGCAAGACAGGATGAGATCCCTAAGGGGGTGAGTGTGGGTAGAGGGGCCCAGGAATCAAGCTCTGGGGCCCTCCAACATTAAATGTTTATGGGTGCGTGGGTGGCCGGGCCAGCTAGCTCAGCTGGTTAGAGCGTAGTATTATAACACCAAGGCCAAGGGTTCAGATCCCTGTACCAGCCAGCCACCAAAAAAAAAAAAAAAAAAGAAAGCTCATGGACAGGAGGAGGAATCTGCAAAGGCGACAGAAAGAACAGCCTGGAAGCCACCTGAGGCAGTGCTTTCAGGAGGAGGGTGATGCACTGTGCAGACTCTGCCAACAGAGGTTAATAATCATTTCTGACCTTGACAAGACCAGCTTCCACGGGATGGTAGGGGCAGAAAGGGGTTAGAGGGTATTTAGGAGAGAAAGCAGAGTGAGAATAGGTAACTTGCAGAGGTTTGCTGCATTAGAAAAGCAGATTAATTGGGAGTAGCTGTGGGGGAAGTGCTCTAGAAGAGGGCTGTTAGTTTCATATTTGGAGGAGGGGTGGTGGTTTTCTGCAAATTATATGTAATGAGTCTTTTTTTTTTTTCCTTTTTGTCTTTTTTTGTGACCGGTAATGGAATCGCAACCCTCGGTGTCGCGCCCGCACCGCGCTCAACCAGTGAGCGGACCGGTCTCTATATGAGATCCGAACCCTCGGCGGGAGGGCCGCCGCGCTCCCAAGCGCCGCACTCTACCGAGTGTGCCACCAGGCCGGCCCGAGTCTTTTTTTTATTGTGGTATAATATACACTATATAAAATTTATGACTTCAACAATTTTTAAATGTATAGTTCAGTGGCATTAGTACAATGTGTCACAATGTTATGTTACCATCACCACTATTTCCAGAATTTTTTCATCCCAAACTGAAACTGCATACCTGCTAAACATTATCAACTCCCCGTTATGCACCCCCACCCCCTAACAAACACCATTCTACTTTTCGTCTCTCTGAATTTGTCTAAATACCTCATAGAAATGGAATTATATAGCATTGGTCTTTTTGTGAATGGCTTATTTCACTTAGCATAATGTCTTCAAGGTTCATTCATGTTGTAGAATGTGTCAGAATTTCCTTCCATTTTATGGC